TTATAATAAGTATTTTTAAAGAATTTTGCGAATACGGATAACAAAGAAATGCTCATAAATTCGCCATATTGGTGAAATCATCTTTTTAATAGATTGGTATAACAAGTGATTCTTCAGCTTATAAGGAAATATGGCTTCTACAAAAGACAGATTTAGCAGTGCTCTCAGAGGTTTTATAATTTAGTCCATGATATTTCATAGGAATGAGCAAAGTAGTTCATCAAAGCCTACTGATTTCTTTTTTGCAACATGTTGTAACAGCTCAACAACTTCATCTTCAGTAACTGGGCTTAAAAACATGGAATTTAGGTTTGATGGTAGTTGGTACATGCTGCCCGCTGAAAGACATAGATTTAGTCAGTTCCGATACAGAAATGATAAAAAAATTATTAAATGCACAAGCAGCTTCCTTCCATCGTTATCAGAAATCATCTCAGGAACTTGTATTTTTGAATGTTTTGAAATTGCACTGATGATTTGCCAAGCAGTCTTACTCTTATTACTAGACTTAACAATTTTATTATTATAGTAGTCTCGATTTGTTTCCAATAATTTTCTTTTATGTTCTTTAATTAGCAGTCAAGGAAGCTATAGCAGTCAACTCGGTATCATTATTTATTTTTGGAGCAAAATGTAACTGTTAAAAACTTATTTCGTCAATCATTACTATTCTTACAATTTTGAGGATTTTCATGTTTACTTTTGACTAATATTACAGGAAAGCATCTATCAAAGGTTTGCATGAATCATCTTGAAACATATTAAACGTTGAATCAAAGGCAAGCCTTTCATCAGGCAAAAAATTACAGTCTGTTTCTTGAAAAAGAATTTTGAACATTTCAATATCTTGAGGTTTATCGAAATAATCTGCACATTATGGACTGATAAGTTACAGATAACTATTTTGGAGAAGGTGGAGGGTATATTGGAGAAAATATTGTCTATGATTGATTTACAGTTATTGGTAATTCTAGTGTAATCCCACACCTGTTGTTCCATATTGAACGATTTCAGAATTGTAACAAGTTTCCTTGCTGATGGATGCATATTTAGCGGGTCAAAGTTCATGTTGAAGTCCCCACAAACAACCATCCTATTGCTCTTCAAACGCCTTTGCGATATATATTTTCAAAGTTGTAAATGAATAAATCAGCATCAGAACTTGGGGACTTATAAAAACAGCCAAGCGTCAAAAGAATATCATGGACATTAATGTCTATCATTGAATACTCAAAAGCATACTCAAGTTGAGGAGTACTACAGCTAACAACCTTGTACTGAAATTCAGAACGGATAAAAATCGCAACGCCTCGTCCTTTCGCATTACTTCTACAGTAGGAGCCAGCAAGAGAGTAGTTTTACAGGGCAATCGTTTCAACTTCATGAGATTGTAACAAACTTTCAGTTATGCATACAACTTCTGGGTAATCCAGGCTTAAAAGTAGAAACTCAAGTTCCTTCATTTTATTTCGTGAGCTACATAACATGCTTAAATGACAAATACGTATTTGTATGTTATTACTGTTGTCCCTCACTAGCACAGTTTCATTAAGTTGTTTATTCTGTTTATCTATTATATTCGTATAATTACAATTACATTCGAGTTAAGGAAAGAAGTTTTGAAAGCCCTATTTTCAAAATTTTTGCTCAACCTGAAAACAAGCGGTTTTTTTAAAAAAAAAGTGAAATAACAAAATAGCCTTAGGTTACAGCTATCATTGCGATGTGTGTCGCGCAACAAGATTATGCGACAACGAGAGTTTACATAAAATATTCAACTATCGCATCACTTAAAGCATACAGATTATCGTCTTGACATGTACACGACTGTCAATTCCACATACCTTGAAGCTTGACAGAGCCTGGAAACGAAGCGATAAGAAAATTTGTACGATTGCTCTCCCAAAACGCGTAACTGCATGTCGAGTGACATAAGTCGCGTGCATAAATGGGCCCCTAAAATAATCCAAATAATCATATCCTCAATCTTTGCCCCATGTTTTGGAAACATCCTGAGTACTCTCAATGTATACTGTTAATAAAGTCGTATCACCACTTGCCCCATGATTAGAATCCCAAATAGTCAACGAGGAGTCAATGACCAGCTCATACAGGCATCGCCATGCGGTCTAGTCGCAACCAACGCCGGAAACACGAAACGAATAATGATTGACGGTTGGCTGAATAATTATTTTCAGTCACACTAGCATTAAATACTTAATTAGCGAATACCAAGAAATGTCTTTTGCTCTCCGTTATATTTTCAGCCGAGGCAATCGTACGCTAGTGACGCTGAACGAGCTACTACCATTGACTAATGCATTCTACCTGGTGGAAAACGCCAATCAATGCTACTAGTGAAGCGCGCGATACTTTAACAAAAATATCATTAAGCAGACAGGAAGCCGAAATACTGACTAGAAGTCGATCGATATTTGGCACAGGTACACACCTCCAACAGCAATATACTCGTAACTATCGCCTGGGGCGAGTGATGTTCACAATATAAATATACAGGGTGGCGCATCGAAAACGAAACAGACGCATTCACTGGCAGCACAGTTTTTTTTGGACAAACACTCAGACTCGTCGATTTTGTTTTCGAGGGGGACACAAGTTAGGCAAAAAATCACGTTAGCACGTGCAGCCCCCTAAGCGGGGCTGACACCACCCCCAAAATCTTAAATGGAAAGGGGAGTCGAGTAATACCTTATTTTAAATGTCTTTCAATTCCCTTCATAATGATATAAAATTAATGTACTTCAGTTCAGTAGTATACATCATACATCATCATTAGTGGAGATCAATACATTTGGCAGCAAAGTAATTTAAAAATGAAGAATGAACTGAGGCAAGTGAATGTTAAAAATGGCCACCATGACTCTCCATGCAATAATAAAGATTCTGCTCAAAAGGTTGCCGCACATTTTGCAATATTTGAGGAGTAATTTGAAGGCACTCATTCACAATTCTTTGTCGCAGGTCTTCTAATAAAGTTGGCTGAGTAGCATAGATTTTGCTTTTTAAATGACCCCACAAAGAAATCCAAAGGTGATAAATCTGGCGATCTTGGGGGCCATTCAATGGCACCTCTTCTACCAATCCATCGATCTGGAAACGTCTGATCTAAATATTGTCGAACACGTAATGCGTAATGTGGTGGGGCACCATCCTGTTGGAACATTAACCTATTCGCAATGTACCGCCGATCATTCTGATTTTCAATTATGGCTGTTAATGCAGGATCTATGGCGTCTTCCAGTAATACCAAATACATTTCACCGGTCCAATTTCCAGGTAAGAAAAAAAGATCAACTAAATGATCGCTAAAAATACCAGCCCAAACATTTAATTTTTGTGGCTGCTGTGTATGAACCTAATGATAAATTCTGGGATTAGAATCGGACCAATATCGGCAGTTATGACGATTTGCTACACCATTTAAGAAAAATGAACGTTCGTCGGAAAAGCAAGTGTTGAATAGAAAATGTAATTCGTTCACCTATCTTCACAAAATTGTAATCACCGATCAAAATCGTCTTCATTAAGTTCTTGTACCAGATTAATTTTATACGGATGAATACTATGGGCCTTTAGAATCTATTGCTTCATTCCTTATGGGATTTTCAATGTTGCGTTTTTTATTGGCGTATGACCCAGTTTCCCGAAATTTAGCTACAAGTTCTAGAACATATTTTCGATGCACGTTACTGTTCTCATGTCGCTCATTAAATATTTCTGGTGTTCTATTAGCGACTGATTAATTCCGAAAAATATTTCGATAATTTCAACTCTTTCTGCTGTGGAATATACCATGGTTAATTTATGTAATAAAGCGTTACAAGTTATTTTAGCAACAAAGTTTGGTCAAATCAATCGCAAAGTATGTACTAAATTCATATTTAAAATATGTACGAGATATTTCCTTATCTTTCTTTAAGAAATAAATCTTTTGCCACAAAAAAACGCTCCAATAGCTATTTTCAACAACAAAATGATAAACAAACTATGGGCGTAGTGAAGAAAAGCATGTACTTATTAAGTAAATTCTTTCAGTCAAATTTCTTCTGAAAGTAGTACAAACTAATCTGATGCACCTATTAAAGTCTACTTTAAGCTTTAAATCAATAAATCTTCAAAACTACTGAACTGAAGCTGATGTATTTTACATCATTATAAAGGGAATTGAAAGACCTTTAAAATAAGGTATCACTCGACCCCCTTTCCATTTACGATTTTAGGGTTGGTGTCACCCCCGCCCAGGGGGCTGCACGTGTTAACGTGATTTTTTGCCAAACTTGTGTCCCCCTCGAAAACAAAATCGACGGGTCTGAGCGTTTTTCCAAAAAAAAAACTGAGCCGCCAGTAAATGCGTCTGTTTCGTTTTCGATGCGCCATATGACAGCTAATCAGCAATCAGGTCTGCTGCAACCAGAACTCAGCGCGTCTGTGCATTCTGCCCATCTGCGCCATGACATCTATGTTAAAGATCATGAACACAAAGCTTTGAAAAATATCTGGGATGATACCCCTGATAGCTTATTTGCTAGTGAATCTCTATTATACTAGTGATGAAGTAGGAAAATAAATGAAAAAATATGAATCTTTCGGACGAATAGGGGTCTGAGTTGACATTTTCGAGAAAAGGTGAGTTTCAACATCTGTTGCATCTCTTGAAATTTTATGAGTGAAAATGTAACATAGACCGTTTTTGAAATAATGGGTGATATGCATAAAGGCGAGTGGCTACTCTTGACTCGCATTTTTAAAGTAGCCACTCCATTTGATATGCATAAACATGTAAGTAGAAGCTCACACTCATAAGTTCCTACTCTTTCCGTGAGGCTGTACTCGCTTCTTGAGTGCCGACTTTAATTTTTATATGCATAAAAGCGAGCCTCCACTCCGACCGCTGAGTACATACTTAAAGAAATGCGAGATACCTTAGTAGTAGACTCAGCTTTATAAGAAGTGGATGTCTTCACGAAATGGCCGAATTTATGCCTGCAAAGGTGTTCAAAGATCGTAGGGAATCAAGGGAAGTAGACTATCGGGCCTTATATCGGTTTAGTAAAGTTAAAATAAGTAAGTTAAAAAAGTAACAATTTTCTTGGAGAGACGAGAAGAATATAGGGGCGGTGCTTTGAGCAATATAGAAAGAATGAGGGTTTTTTACCATACGTGGGAGGATTTCAAATTGGCATAGGAGAAGATATTGGTGTCCATCAATCTACGGTATCCCAAACCGTTACCAACGTTATAACACGCATTGTGCAGAAGTCGAGTATTTGGATTAGATTCTTCCCAACCTCATGTGAAGATCTACACAATGCTAAAAATAAGTGGCAAGAAACGTTCAATTTTCCTTCAGCTATTGGTGCTATCGACTGCACCCATATACCTATTCTGAAGCCGTTTATGCATGCCGACAAATATGTGAACAGAAAGAACTTTGCTAGTATAAATGTACAAGCAACGTGCAATTCAAACGAAGAGTTCACAAGTGTGGATGTTTCTTGGCCAGGATCTGTACACGACTCTCGGATATGGAAGAATTCTGATATATACAACGTTATGAAATGGAATAGGGCTAGTGCTGTTTTGTTGGGAGACTCTGGGTATGGTATAGCTTCTTGGCTCATGACTCCTTTTAGGATTGCAGAAACATCAGAACAAACATCATATAATCGGCTGTTTACGAGAGAACGAGTTATAATAGAGAGATGTTTCGTTCAACTAAAACAGCGTTTTCCCATTCTACATAACAAAATACGCGTCGATACAGAAAAAGTGCCCTCCCTTGTCATGAGATGTTTTATCTTGCATAATGTGGCTAAGCACCTTAATGATAAAGATTTTGCTGTTTATATACCGGGAGATGGCGAACAAGAAGAAATACATAACCAACATACTGCCGACTATGCAAATGGAGTGATACGTCAGAGAGGTCAATTTAGAAGAGATGCAATGTCAAGAACCATTCATGGCTTTCGGGTCTAAGTAAGTATCTAGCATGATCTAAATTTAATCTGGTTTTTATGTTTTGAATCTTCTTCCAAATCTGCCATTCATTATATTTAACTCCTAATTCGGCTTCTACCTTTTCTTTTATTTCTTCAACCGCCTTACGTCGTTTATTTTTGATTTCCGGGATGTTTAATTATATTAACAAATACTATTTGATTTTCAGATGAATGGTCTTCAGAATAGGTTGACATCATGTAAATGAACAAATAATAATCGACCTAAACACCACCGACACAAACGTTTACCGGTATACAGTAGTAACTGCTCGCAATAGAGAAATTGCCAATTCGGCGAGACAACAAAATACAAGTCGCAACTCGAAAACCAGAGTGCCTACTCAAGAATTTCATTAGAACTTGAGTAGCCTCTCCGTTTCTCGATAAATATTTTATGCATATCAAAACCGAGTAGGCTCTCCCTAACAGGAGTAGTTACTTGCTACAATATGGAGTCGCTACTTCTGAGAACTCACTCACCTTTATGCATATCACCCAATTTGGTTCAGTACAGTGGCTATCCGCACTCGAAGTTGATGTCACATAGACCGCTGTTCCAACTTGAAAATTTATTTTCACACTCGCCGTATTGGCATACTCGCCCCATCTATTCGTATATCAATAAACTATAATATTTAGTGGAATCTACACACTTCATATACCGTTATTCACACCAAAACTCGATTTTTGATAATTTGTAACATAGACCGGTATTCGTCCAAACGCATCTTATGTTTGCTACTGACATTGCGACTGCAATATGTTCTTTGTATACTTGTGTTTGCCTAAAAGGTCCACCATTACTTATTTTTTGAACTGATCAATTAAGCATGTTGAAATTCGGGGTAATGAAATTGATGCGCGAATACTATGTTTTACCGTGAAAGGGGTATTTGGGGATTTGCAGGATGTCATTGTGAAACATTATTTTCAATTGGAATGGGGGGTCGGGTGACAAATTTTGAAGCTCCTCATCAGTACTTTATAACCCTAGAATATAAAATCACCATCTTTCAAAATGATGAGCAGGCAGGCTGACAAGTCGAGAGTTTTTATGCACTGAGTCACGGCAACCAATTATCATCAGATAAGATGTTATATCAATCTCGTTCTTTTGGAAAGGTCTATCCGAATATGTAAAAAACACATGAAATATTTAAAAAAAATGCTAAAATCTGTAATTTTTTTGAGCTGAATGCTTCATATTGCATTGCTTCTTCAGATATATCCTTTCAAAAGATAAATATTGTTATAACATATTATAACGTTTTGCTGATTCTATTTCATTTAAAAAATGTCAAAATCTGTTAATTTTTTCTAAACTGAATGTCTCATATTTTATTGCTTATTCAGATAGAACCTTCCAAATGAAACATATTGATATATACATACTACAATGTTTTGATAATAATTAGTTGTTGAGTAACAAACAATTGAATACACAAAATCGGCTAACTTTGACCCATTTTCAGTCCGCCCTTTTTTAAAGACAGGATTCTTATATTGTAGGATTATGAAGAATGGATACAGATCTTCAAGATGAAATTTTCAGCTATAATTTTTTCTGAAAAGCATTCTATAGGTAGTATAAACAGGAAGATAAGACAGTAAATAACTTGCTTTGTGATATCTTAGTTGCTCCATCAATAAGTGTTGATGATCCAGCCCTGATTAAAACACCCTTCACTTGACATACAAAGCGCGCCAATAAAGCCTAGGGGAAGTAATGTAGTTACTCTTTCTCGAACACAGACAGCATGTCCACTTTCAATGCCAGAAGTACGGAACGAATAAAAATTGATAGCTCAATCATTTGTTTTGGACGTACTAACATTAAATACTTAGCAAATACCAAGAAATACATTTTGTTGCCTGTTTTATTTTCATTTGAGGGAATTGAACGCTAGTGACGCGCTAGATAAACGTGGCGAGCTCTTAATTTTACTAATGACCATCGCGGTGCTTGACACGATATAATTATTGTTACATTGTAATTGAATTACAATGAAGCGGTAGTGACGTGTGCGTTTAAGCGTTGAAGGCAAAAACATTTATCAGTATTTTAAATTATAACGAATCAAATTGTCACACACACACACACACACACACATATATATATATATATATATAATTAAATGTTAATTGGGAAATTGGCAAACTGTTTAGGCTTTAGTTAACTCTTTTGACGATAATCTCTAGCTTTCGGCAATTCTCTATGGAGCCTTCATCAGGAGTCGTCGTTGAGGTTGCAGCTAAATGGTGTTTCAAAACGAACGTGGGGATGAGAGCACTTGTTACAATTATAAAACCAATCCGACGGGCACATTGGGCTTATTGATAACGACGGATACCATCGTTAGGTGTTAACACTCCAAATCAGTACACCCGAAATATATTAAAAATATGTTTTTTAACGAGAAGCAATTTTGTGGACAAAACCGGAACGTACATTCTAACCTTCTACCTAGGTAGGTATAATTGTAACAAGTGCTCTCATCCGCGCGTTCGATTTGAAACACCATTTGGCTGCAACCTCAACGACGACTCCTGATGAAGGCTCCATAGAGAATTGCCGAAAGCTAGAGATTACCGTCAAAAGAGTTAACTAAAGCCTAAAAAGTTTGCCAATTTCCCAATTAACAATAAATTGTATTTTTGCCCAAGAAGTCGTTGGCAATGGCAATGACTACTGCTCATATCTATATATATGTATATATAAATACATATATATGTATATACGCAGTTGAATTACAAAAATGAAGGTCGCGGGATTCAAGGGAAAAATTAATACAAAAGAAAATAGTGTTAATGGTAGATATAAAAACATTGCATTGAGTAGACTGACTCACTTTTTTTCCACAAATTACCAAGTTAGACGTTCCTATAATCGGCGTGATATCATCTGCTGCCTCATGAACTTAAATATAATTACCTAAAGTCCATAATTATTTCATTTGCCATATAAAAGTACTGTTTCCATCAAAGGTTAAACCAGGGGTGCATACTTTTTTACTTATCTTGGTTTCCAACCGCACTGCACTTTATTTTGAAAATATTGATTCCGAGATTTACAGTGAACGATACGTTTTCAGCACATACCTACTAACTGATATTTTCAATTTCGTTTCAAGACTATGTATATTGTCATAATTCTCAAATTGTACTGTGAAAGCGCTACAGTTGTGACCGAAACGTCGTTATCAGTAAACAGTATTTCAAACATATGTGGTTTCATTTAGTGGCCAGACTAACAATGGAGGATTGTCTCAAATTTCGCATAAAGATTAATAAACGCATTTTTAGGTTTTGTAAAGCACATGTTGATTATATGGTTGGAAATTAGTAAAAAATCGGATATTTCAGTAGAATTTGTGACAATATAAGTCCTTGGTACAGAATACAATAATTTTTCCTGGTTTTACTCGTTCTGCATCATTTTTGATTACCTGCACAAATGAGGAAAAGCAAAGGTTACCTCTATTAAATAAACGTATGCGGATTTTGTTAAATTGTAGTAGGTATACCCCTAAAAACATTGAGTTTTTTTTGACATACACGAAATCATTCAAGAGACAAATTTAATTCTTTTATACAAAACTATCAATAATCAGAAAAGTTTAAAAAGAAAGATATGAAATGCAAGGTTACGACATTAGATTAAAAGAACATTTCCACATACAAAGGTTTAGAAAGGTCATTGTTTGTTGAAGGTCTAAAAATGTAAAACAATCTGCCAATTATTGTAAAAACATGTCAATATTTTGAAAAAGAGACTTTCGGTTGGTTTAATGTGACAACCACTTTGTAAATTTAACTTTTTGTAAATAATAGATGCATGAAGTAACCTAAATCTAAATCCTTTTCTATTATATTCTAATAAAATTGAATAACAACGATTCACTAGTACGTTCTCACTAAATTGTGTACAATTTCGTCCTGTACAATGTATCCGATTGATGAGTGCTGGCTTAGAGGCTTCGGTGACCTGTTTCATGACTGGCGAAGTTGGTTCGGGTTCGAGACAAGTTCATTAAACTCCGAAAAATGTGTTGGACGCTCACTAGTTTGCCGTTGGTGGCTGAAACACGCCACACTGGCGCTGATTCGCAGAAAAGATCACTGGGAACATGAATTTGAATGACGGTAGCAACGGCAGAGCGTGGGCAGAGCCATTTTATTTCCAAATTGAAGTAAAAAATACCTTCAAATGTTATACATAAATACCTCGAAATGTTCATTAAAACCATGATCTGCAGAAGATTACAGAATTAAACATCTACAGTGCTTTCAAAAAGGGCTAGTTTTTAACGGGTCAAGTTGATTCATGGTAGAGAAATTCATGCATAAATACTATACTTTGGCGTAAACGTGACAATTTAAGATTTCAAAATCGCGGCTGGTCACTATTTTGGAAAAGTTTTTAATCGGAGTGGGAGGTCGTGTGATATCTCATTTTGAAGCCCCTTCTAAGTACTTATATCCGTTGATTATAAACTCACTACCTCACCCCAATGTTGGCTGCAGGCTGTTAAAGTTGAGCGTTTTTGTACAGTGTTGCTCATAACTCAACAACTAATCTTCAAAAAGCCCTATGCGTACGAAATATCTGAAAGTTATCTTGCGGTTTTCAATATCGTCAGCCAAAAAGACAGCAAAGTCGCTTCTTCATCATCTGTCTTGTAAACGTAGTTAAGTAATCGTTTGAATAATGATACAGAGCGTTATGGTCTGATGAAAACAACCTATCATAATTTTTTTGAAGGTTACCGTCACTGTTCTTCCGTCAATGCTTCTCATAATTCTCATAATTATTGGTGAAATATTATGTGTTCGATCTAAGAAGTAAGCTAGTAAAGTTAAATATATAAATATATAGTTGAGCTTTCACATATAGACCAGAAGAAAGCGTGGAAAAACTATGTAATCTGTATTATTTTCGGAGTGAGGAACTGAGAAAAGTAATCGCCTTTCCAGGAATTTTGAAACAGTAGAATGGTGAAAAAGGGAGGTCGGTTATAATAACTCAGATGTTTGGAAACGCTGTTCCAACTCCTTTGCAATAACACTTTTTGAACCAGTCATAGACGTCAAGGTTGAAAACTGAAAACTGCTAAGCAAGATGTACCATCTGTCGGAATTTGTTTTTTGGAACTAAATTCAGTGTTTTTCAATGTGTACATTTCTAAGAAATCATAATTGTCGTGCCAATTTTTACTTATTTATAGAGTTGAGCAATAGACAATTATCGTGCCGTAGCAGACCGCTAGTCCATCACAGTTGTGTAGAAAAAACAAGTGACTAGGTTTCCTCCGTTCCGCCATTCGTGGTCCAGTCAAAATAGAAATTAGTAAACAATAATTTCCATTTGCGTATTA